GATTGACGGGTGTTTTTACAGCATTACAGGTGTCACGACTGCCTATCCAGAGGCCATTGCCCATTATGAATCCAGGCTCTTTAAATCCGGACGAATCATACACTATGAGGAACATAAAAGAGTGGTAGAGAGTTAGGAAGTTAATATATATTATAGAACTAGGTGCATATACGAGCGGTAATGTTTCGGTTCTACGAATACTTTTAAAAATTTATAGAGCAGTTGTTGTTATGATTACTATATGCTAGTGGCTTCTTCCATAGTATCTACTAATTATTGGAATGGCTGGGAATACTAAAACAGAATCCTTCAATGCAGGGCTTTAAAGTCAAAATTTATATCTACATATTTGGGGCTTAAAGCTGTCACGATAATTCTACAGTACAAATCCTTTGTTTTCAGCTTGTATAAAAGTTTTGAAAGATTTTTCTGTTGAAAAATGTGTATTACTACCTCATAACTAAAAACCTGTAGTCATTTTTACTAAAACTTCATGTTATCCTACCTTCCTTTTGACTATCTGCCATGATACTACAAGTATTGCGAAAGATATTAAAAAAATACATATATTTTGATATAATTAACCGATCAAAGGACGAATTAAAAATTTAATTTTTATTTAACTTCCAAGAAATTCCATAGAAAAGATTTGAATTTCTTTTGTTACTTGAAACTAGCAAAAGGATAATATTTTTCCTTAATTCTTCATAATTTTGAAATTTCTTGAGGCGATCAGATATTTTTCTCTCTTGTATTGAGTTAATCTTGATACCATTTTACAAAAGCCACTTCAATTTATCTTTTGCTGTAGAACTCATGAAAAGTAAGACAAAGAAAATTTTTAAAAGGAATAACGAACTTTTATCCTACAGTTCTATATAGTTCCTTCGAGCATCATATTCCTTGATGTATCTCATTGGTTGTGAAAGGAAGCACTTACTCTTCATGGCCCAGGGCAGTTGCATTAGTATAGCCTTCTGTACTTCCTGGAGTTGCGTATAGCAGTTGTGGCTCACCATATTCGAACGACTGATGACTGTCAGGCCGAAAAGTATTGACGAACGCTGCATTAGTTCGTATTGGTCGCTGTTAGGACCCACTTTTTTCACTGTGGTACATACGCAGCAAAGTAGTGTGAATAGCACCAGCACTTGATAAAGCTTCACTTGTAACATTTTGACAATTTTATTTTTTGTTAATTTATTTTAAGTAATTCAATGATATTCGTAATTCGATTATGTTATCTTAGAACTAGTTGTAAAGTCCTTTCGAAACGTTTTTAATATCATAAGTTAAATTTGTTTCTTCTGGAATTATATATATTTATATATTCTCTTGTTTTTACAATTTCACTTTATATCCTGTTGTGGGAGTCTATTTAGCGTCTGGAATCCTTAACTTCCTTTAGAAAATTCCACACTCACTCTCACTTTGAAAATTTGAACCTGTCCGTCCTGGCTTCTATTTCACTTCCCGCTCAACGAGATAGAAATCTAAGCGCCTTAACGCTATACGCGAACTGTCACTAAAAATTTTTACACGCTTATATTTATTAAATTAAAGTGCATTATAGTATTAACACATATCAAATTAATTATGCGCGACATATGTAGAGAACGCAAACAATTGCGCAAATTGTGCGGTTGAGCGGTTGAGCGGCGCATGCGGCACACTACTGGACTGTTTGTTTACTATTTGAATATAAATATATGTATATAAACGAATAGGTTATTAAGAATACGAGTGACTAAGATATTGCTATTAACCCTTGACTTTCAACATTTTCGCATAAAAAAATTAAGTTTGCGTATATTGTTGTATATATATGCTGCTAGCCTTAGCTTAGCCTTAATGCTACTGCAGTAAAAAGTCGATCATTTCTAGTTTTGCAAATTTGGCAGCTATTCTTAAAGATTCCTGCTATAAATGTTATAAAATTGGGCCTCTGGGCTGGAAATTATTCTCAAAACAAACCGGCAAACTTATTATTATTATTATATATTTATAATAAAGCTGAATTCTTGGCCTTAGCTTTTCTTTAAAAACTTTCTTAACTACTTTTAATTTCAGTATTAAATTGAAAATATTAATAATGCGGTTTATTTTTACTAATACGCGTAATAAAATATTAACATTATTTAAATAAAAATTATCTGCATTTACATATTTGCATACTCATAAAACGCATGCGTGCAGAGTTTGTTATTGAAACGAATTGTGTTTTATTCTTCTAAATGGACATGTTTTTATGCGATTAATGCTTCTATGTGGATAATTTTAATTAAGTGCTACAATATTCCGAAGAAATGCAATTAGCACAGTTGGTTCTGATTCTTATGACTCTTTCGCTTTGCACACGATTTGCTTCCACGGCGTACACCCGCAAGTTGACATGTACTTTTATTCATTCCCACAAACCTATCCTACATATCTACATATAGGTTCATATAGAGTAAACTTTGCTTTCTTTTTGTGTTTTTTTTTCATTCATGTGCTCATTTTCGCTCCAACACAATTGTCAACGGATCTGCTTAGGTTCGTTCATAAATCAATGAGACATGATTGACGTTTCAATACGAGATTTATTCTCATCCTTCTTCCTTATGCCATTTGTAATTTGATTTTTCATTTTGTGCGCTTTTGTTTCAGCTTGGAATGGTATGTGTTATCTGAATTTACTGCTTTGGAGTAAGAATGCTATGCCAGGCGACGCTAGGAATTTATTTCGCTTAGTGCGAGAAGTGATAATGAAATTGTTTGCTTTAACTAACAATGCTGTAAAAATTCAATCCCATTTCTTAATCGAAAAATTTTTATTTTTTTAATTCTTAAATATATGCTTAAGATTGAACAATCTTTTAGTTAGTTTTTGGTAATAATAATTTTTTATTGATTTTTTAGTCCGGTATGTGGATTTAAAACAATTTTTTTTTAATCCGGTATGCTTGGTATCCCAATTTATTGCTCTTAAAAATATCTGTAATTACTTTAGATTATCCCTGATTACTTGGAATATATTTATATATTTTTAATTCACTAAAAGCATAATAAAAAGTTCTCAGGAAATATATATGTATAATTACTTTGAATTATATTTGATTACTATGACTACATAGTCACGTTTGATCTTTTGTCCACTGAAGAGACATTGCCTAATTGGTAGTATATACTCGTACATGTATACTAATCGAAAAAATATTTGTTGGAAAGCTGAACATTTTTTGGATTTTTTAAATTTATTTTTCAATATAATTACTTGTTGCTTACTTTATAATGGTTATCAGCAATTTATAATAAAAATCTTAAGTAATGGTAATTTGTTAGGAAATATTCTTTTAAAAGTATTGAAACATATCGGTAACAATTACTTAAAAGCTCCGATTACAACATACAACTGTGTAAGTTTTAAGATTTTTGTACTTTGGTAATTATTTCTGTAAAAAAAACATTTAATCTCATATACTAGTAAAACTATATTAAAGAAGCTCATACCATCAAATACGAAAATTATCAGATATAGTTAGTAATATTAAAAAAAAACATGTTTTGAATAGGCATAGCATACTTGGAATTTGTATACCCTGAACAGGGTCCACGAAGTTTGTAGCACCCAGAAGGAAATGTCGGAGACCCTAAAAAATATATACATAAATGATCAGCATGATGAGCTGTGTTGAGCCATGTCCGTCCGTCTATTTGTCTGTATATACCCAAACTAGTCTCTCAGTTTTTGAGATATCGATCTAAAATTTAGCAAATGACCGTCTCTCACCAAGAAGCTGCTCATTTGTCGGAATAGCAGATATATATATAGCATATAGCTGTCATACAAACTAAATCGGAATCAAGTGCTTGCATTGAAAACTTTTTCTATTGACGAGATGTCTTTAAGAGATTTGGAACGGATCATTATATAAGGTAATAATGGAATTTTACAAGAAATTGTTCTGATTGAATCACTGTAGCATATTGCTATCATAAAAACTGAACAATAGGAATCAAGTTCTTCTAACGAACCTTTTGTATTTGTAATGGGTATTATAGCTTCGTTTTTTCTTGTTTTTTTTTGTTTTTGCGGAATACTTTCAGTTGATAATATGAATACTTTGTGATAACTTTATTATGGTAATCAGAAAATTTTCTATAAAACCTAATATTAATATATATCATGAAATATTTATATTTTAACATGAAATAGATGACTGAGATAGATACTTTGTGATTTGGGTGCCAGCAGTAAATCAATACCAATACTTGTGATTTGGTAATTATTTTGGCAAATTTAGCATGTAATCATATGTACATAAGATATTAAATATATCTGTTGCCAGCAACTGAATTTGTTTAATACGAAAAATAATTTGTTTTATTTTTGTTGAATTTGTTCAAAAAAAAAATATTACCATTTACATTAACACGCATTAACTTAACATTAACAATTAACTGCGCTCTCTCTCTCTCTCTCTCTCTCCAAACCTATTATACCGCCGTTACATGTAATCAGTAAGTATACTTGCAAATGACTAATACGATGTATATTCATAGATGTTATGAATACTGACAGGAGTGTCATAAAACAACAATAAAAATAAATCAAAAACCAAACAATGCTTATGAATCAATTTACCGATTAGCACTGAAATACCTTGTTTCATATTTATGTATATATGTATATACATATATAAAAGTAGATACTTATATATGCCTACTTACTATGTGAACAAATACCAAACGTTCAATAAATTGTTTTATCAGTTGCGGTTTTGCATTATTTGCAAAACTGTTAAAAGTTTTTACTCCCTACCCTCAGCGAATGCTTAGAGCTGTCTAAAAATATAGATATTACGTTTAAGCGAATAAATGAAGTATAGAATAGTATAAAAATATTTGTGGCTAAAGTAAAAACAAACTATTTTAAAAATTGACAGTTACTATTTTATGGTATAACTTTTTTATATGGTAAATAAAAAATGTTGAAAAAGGCAAAACAAAATAATGAATACATGTTTTGACCCCTGTAAAAATATAAACTTTTCTATTATTTGATACCAATTTGGTTCATATGGAGAGAACTACTTATAAACGTAATTCCTACCTTGTTTGATTTGAATTGAAATTGCGACTCCAGAATGTACACAAAATACTGAATCTGATTGTGCCTGCAATATGAGATTTATACTTGTATGTACGATGATTTTCAAATTAATATTTCAAAAATTATAAAGTGATACTTAAATATATGTATAAAATATTCTCAAAGTTTTACATTTAATCATTTTTATAAGTTCATTATTATAATTTTCATACTATCAGAAACTCATGAAAATCATTGAGAAAACCTGTTCTCCCTATTTAATATAACGCTAAATAAAATAATTTCTGATTTTTTTTAAAATAGGCATTTAATAATTAGTTCTCATATGCCGCATATATATATTATATGAATATATTTGTCATACATTTTATGTCACCCTAAAGTCAAACTTTGAAAATGTAAAATGAAGATTACATTAAAATCGTTTTCGTCAAAATTTCGCAATAATTGAAATTTTGTAAGCTTTGAAAAACTATTTTATAAAATAAATAAAATAATATTTGTATTAATTTAGAATTATAATAATCTTACAATATTTTTCAAAGACCGTAATCAATTATAGTTTTACTTTAAACTACGTAATAGATTATACCTCTATTAGTGTTAAGTTTTACCATTAATATTTTAATATATCGCAAATATAAAACAATCCCTAATAATCATTATTCATTATCATTATCATGATCTTGAAATATGAAAAATAATGATTATGTGTTTTATTTATTTTGCTCAAAATACTGATTTATTATACAAATAATCAAATTAATATATATCGTAGAAAATTATAAAAATCTGAAATTAAAGTTCATCAGCGAAATTTGAGATCGTCGAAAAACGATTAAAATGACTTTAACTGTTGTTTTATTTTTTCTATTACAATCTAAAATTTCTCTAATATCAAAATCATTGCTTAGTTAAGTTCTAAATACAAGTTTTTAAAATCTGTATAAATTCTAACTACACCTTTGCTTGCTAGTGGTTCAACTTCTCATCCTAGCTGTAGTAAAACTCTGTATGTTACTTGACTAATTTTGTGTCACACATCAACAGCTGCCTGCCTTACCAAACAGCTTATCCATGTTTCATACACGGTAGTACTATTTTTGACACTACTGTTAATGGCATGCAAAATGCAAACCATTGTCAACGCGAAATAGGCCGCTGGTCTGTCTAAAATACCGAACACTCATTGGTATACAGTTGACTGGACAATTTGCTAACTTTATCAGACAGCAAATCAAAACACCTTTTGCCACTCAACTCAACTCTGCTTGTCCTACATCTTCGCAAGCATTAATATGTGCATACCTGCAAACACTCACTGTCTTCTTTATTGTTTTGTATGCTTAAGTAAGCATCCTTTTTCTTGTCCAAGATAGTTGAGAATTTATGTGACATTTTGGTGTCCTTTTGCAATTAGATGTGAGTGCAGTTGTTTTCCTCAATGTGGTGTTGTTGTTTTGTTGCATTGGCTGGCTATACAAGAGTTTTACGGTTAAATTGAAACATCTTTTGATAACCTAGAAATTTATGCAGCAATTGCATAGATGTATTAAGTGAGTACAAGTATATCATATTCAGGTACATAGTACGGTGGAATATACCATACATACAAACTTTATAGTATATCTTTAGAACATAGACACTTGCTATGAATCTACAGATTATTTTTTTTACATCGACTATTTTGGAAAATATGTACACATCGTTTCAATTTTCATAAATAATAAAGTTGTAAATTGTAGGAGACAGTTTGCAAACGTCAACAAGATCAAAAATATTGTACATGTGATCTTTAATTTGAATAAGAACTTGTGTATTTCTGATAATATCTTTAAAAGTATATTCCGAAGCGAAAATAAGAAAACTAACCAGCCTACAGCAAAAACTTAAAATTCCCTGAAGACAAAACATTACGGATTTGTACAAACCACCATTGAAAACGGAAAATAACTCTATAGCACAAAAAAATAACCATGGCAATGCTATGAAAATACCCGCTTATATCGCTTCATTAATTTGTTTCAAAGGTAGAATAGCAGTTGATGGAGTTATTCGTTTAATAAAAAGCAAAACTAAGTGATATTTTTATTATTCATAACATTTTTCTAATGTATATACGGTATTGAATGTCAAATGCTTTCATATGTTTATGTCGTAACAATTTATTATTTTAGTTTGTTGTTGGAGCTTTGAAAAAAAACTATTCAAAATATATTTACAATTGAATTGATAAGTCTAAAACTGACATATTGATTACACAATGTAAAATTTTATTAAATGAAAATAAACTTAGGAAAAAGAATCGGTTAAACATTAGGTGATATGCAGGGTGCTTTGTCTTTTATTGGCAGTATATAAATAACAATTAATTTTAAATGTGTTTGAAGAGCAATTTTTACATAAGAATGCCAATATTGGTCAAAAAAATCTCAAAGGTTTTTGTTTCATTTTTAATAGTTGTAATTGAACAGAATAAACCCTTTATTGCAAGACCTTGTAAATTGTATCTCGAAGAGCTGTGTAAAATTTCATTAAGATCATTAAGAATTGCTTTGTAAATTTTTTTAGGGGCTATTTTATTTACTAAATGACGTATTTAAGGTACTATAATAATAGGGATTCATTTTGAAAAGTGTTGACCTCTGAGAAATTTTCCTATCCAAATGAAAAAACAAATTTAAGTTTTGGGTGTTGATTATACTAGGTTAAAAAAGAAATTCATAAATAAGCTCATATCTCCGAAACTATTTGCCCAATAAACCCAAATCAAATTTTCGCAGTATAGTCTCAAATATAGTTACATTCGATATTCATATATGCAAAAAAGTAATTTTTTCTCAAATTTATATATAGAAATAACGCCTTAAACCTATTTAGGAAATGTAATTACCTTGTTATGTCCGTTTGTTTTCAAATTCCATTGTCGTTACACAGCTATAGAAAATTAGAATCTTTTGTGCTGAAATTAGAATCTTTTATGGAAACTTTTGTTTTATTCCCTACTTTAAGCATAAATCTTCGCAAACAGTAAACAGTTTTAGTTCTTATTTTTCATATTGTTTTATAAAAACTCAGTAAATTTTACAACTCAAATATAATTCGAGTACTTTTCCTCCTCTTCCTCGCATTTTTAATGCAATTTCTTAAAAATCTACAAAAAAAAAA